TAATTTTATTTTTGGTCCCGAAAGCTTATATTGGTCCATTTTAATATATTTTTTTCTAATTTTTTATGTAGGTTTTTTAAATTATTTTTTGATGCCATCTGGTGGGGAAAAATAACATAAAATTGCATTTTAAGAATTAAAGCCACTAGAGAGGCCTATAGAACCCTATGGAGATTCTTAAATTAGCCAAATAAGTGAAATGTTTAAAACTACACCAACTTGAGGCTTCATTAAGCTTTCAGATATATCTCAAGGCTTTCAGATATATATCAAAACATTAAAAATATATATTTTGTAAAAAAAAAAGAAATACATTTATACTGAATTTTAATCCAAACGCATGCATATTCATACAGTTTCATAAATATGTAATAAATATAAAATATACATTTAAAATATATATATGATATTAACTCATTGGTCTCCACCCCATCACTCAAATTGAACTGTTAAGTCAAATTTTTTTTCTAAATGACAGTCGTTTCCCTGCAGAAACAACAAACAAGCTATAATGTGTTTCAATGGGAGTGTGTGCGCCATGTGTGTGTTTGTCTGTGCGTGTGCCTGTGTGTGTGGATATGTGAGTTTTTTGTGCATTGAGGACATTCTGCAGTCTCAGCCCTTTGTTTGGGTATGCATCTTTTCTGAATTGTGTCAGATTTTGTATAGTCAAAAAAATCAAATAAATGAAAAAAATGCTGTTTTTCCCAGCCATTCCATTCATTCCTATGGCCGGGTCAAAATGAATGCAATACTTGTGGGTGTAATACTTTTTTTATTACACCCACATAGAATCCTCAAATCAACTAAAATTTTGTTGTGTGTGCTCCATGCTCAAGTGTGACTAAATTAAATAAATAAAAAAATCCGCAGTTTTTTCATAAATTCCATGCATTTCCAGTGGTGGGTCAAAATGACCTGCGAGGGACACTTTTGATACTTTTTTATAGCACCCACTTAAATGGCTCGAATTCACTCTAATTTTTTCCCATGTATTCCCGGTTCAAGTGTGACAAACGTAACAAAGTCTCATACCATAAAGATCGACGCTCGATTTTTAAAAAATCTTTGCAAATTAGTTTTGGGTCAAAATGACCCGAGGGACGGATGAGGGTTTTAAAGGTACACATTGTCTATCCACTTTCATTGCATGGAAAAGAGCAACCTGGAAGATGATACTAACCAATAATTATAGGTTCAACAGAAAAATGCATTTTTCAAGAGTAGATTATGAGTTTTCATTTTCATTTGTACTATTTAACTTAAGCACAATGGACCCTATGCATACTGACCATCTATGTATTTCCGCTAAAATCTCAGTGCTACACAAGCTTCTGTTATTCCAGACAAAAATGATCAGGAGATGCTCACCTTCTTTGCAGATTCTGAGAACAGCACACCATTATTGCCAATAATTCCCACAGGGTAGCCAAATATCCGTGCAAAACCTAGAAAGCAAATAAAGGAAGCCAAAACAAGGTGAGAAATCAATGTTGAAATTCAAATACAAAAATATGTTTATTGAAAAACATCCACCTGTGATGAGTGTGTCTCCATAGAAGGCCTTGAATTCATCAAATTTACTGCCATCGACAATACGAGAGATAACCTGAAATTTCAAATTCAAGTTCTGTCTGAGGCGGCAACATTTCAATAGGCTTGTATTTCTGTGATCAAATTGTGGCCATTACCTCGCGAATGTCAAAGTTGCGTTTGAGGTTGTCTCCCACAATTCCATAAAGCTCATCGGCAGGAAACAGAGGAGCTTCAGGAGGTTCAACAGTGACCTAATGAGCAGTGGGCAAGTTAAAGAAAATCAGCATCAAGCCATGAAGCATCTCTGAGAAGACAAGAGCAGTTGTGTCCTCACATCAAGATTCTTCTTGTAGTTCAGGCTTCGAACGGCTTTCCGTGCAAGATGAAGGGCGTGATTATCATCCAGGGCATAATGATCGGTTACACCTGACTTTCTGAGGAGAGACAAATGTTGAAAAATACATTAGTCCAATCAAGCTCAAAAATGTGTTTATGTGAACACACAAGTGCTTCTCTAACCTGCAGTGAAGGTCTGCACCTCCCAGGTCTTCAGCAGACACCTCTTCACCTGTAGCAGCTTTTACCTGTTGAATACAGAGTGGGACATTGATAAACATAAGTAGAGAGTCATACCATGCTCCTTAGGACAGAAACACCTACCAGCGGTGGTCCACCTAGAAAAATGGTCCCTTGTTTGCGTACTATGATGCTCTCATCAGCCATCGCAGGCACATAAGCGCCCCCTGCTGTACAGGAGCCCATCACAACAGCAATCTGAAACATAACAGGTAAAATTGATCCACCATGATGAATCCGTGGATCAATGATCGGTGCGCAGCTTCAAGTCGAACGAACGAACAAACAAACACATGTGCACATTTGCATCGCTTTGATCATTCTCACCTTCTCACACGCGGCGCGATTAGTCGATTATGTACAATACCTGCATGTTATTGGTCAAACTACTTTGGATGTTTTAGGCAATATAAAAATCATGGCCAGGACGTGTCCCGTATAAATGGCACATATGGCCACCCTACACTTGCGGCTATATATTAATAAATGACTTCTATAAATGGTTCTCAAACTTTAGGGGTCCCACTGTTCAACACAATTAAGTGAAGACCCCCTATATTGATTAAGATTTTTCCTTTGGTATTTTTGTTGCAATTATGACAACGCTGCTTTTCTGAATTTTTTTTATTAACACAAACTGGGAGTGCTGGTTCATTTAATTAGCTAAGAATCATTTTGTAATTATGGAAGATTCAAAATACTGATTCTGTGTTCTTCAATAAAAACAATAGTTAAGGGGAAAGAAGAAACATTTCACTTAAACATTATTTCATCATTACATCTCGACTTTTTGTGTCTTTAGCACAATTTAGGCCCCCCTGGTTAGGAACCACTGGCTTGTATGAAAAAAAATTCCACATAACAAAAAGTACCTGTGCAATTCCCTCCGAGGACAGGCGGGCCTGATTGAAGAAGATGCGTCCAAAGTGATCTCTGTCTGGGAACACATCTGCCTGTCTGGGTAAATTGGCTCCTCCAGAATCCACTAGAACAGATCAGGGATCAAATAAAAGCATTAGTAGGAAAATGTTGTTTTCTACAGAATATGAAACCTCACATATTCTCACTCACCCAGATATATGCATGGTAGATGGTTTTGCTGCGCAATCTCTTGGGCGCGCAAGTGCTTCTTCACAGTAACCGGATAATAGGTTCCACCTTTGACAGTAGCATCATTTGCAACTATAATACATTCCACCCTGTGAGGTACACAGGCAGGGTGTTATGAACCATAAACTCTTATACGCTATTATCAGATGTAACAATGCAGACATATTGATTGTATTGTATGCTGCTCACCCTGACACTCGACCAATACCAGTGATTATGCCTCCTGCAGGAACCTCCTCATGACCATACAACTGAAAGCCAGCAAACTGGGAGAACTCAAGAAAGGGAGATCTGCATTCAGACAAACAAAACAAAGTTCAGTGTGAAACCAGTCTGAATGGACAGCAACATTTCAATCATCACGTTTTAGTTGTTTGTTTATAAAAGTGAGTTTGCTTTCACCCAGGATCCAACAGTCTGTCGATGCGTTCCCGAGGCAGGAGCTTTCCTCTGGATGTATGTAGGTTTCTTGCTTTTTCTCCACCTCCTTTGAAAGCGGCAATGTTGTGTAAACATTAGTGTGAGGAGATATACTAGCTGCCACAAACTACCCTTATGTAATGGCTTCATTCGCTGTGTTTAATGGGATCAAATCAAGTACTTGGAACTTGCTCACCAAGTTTGATCTTCTCTGCTCTGTCCTTCAACTCCTTCACCAGTGCTTGCATTCGCTCATAATTTTCCTACAATGTGAAAGATTTTTTTTTATTATATAAATGAGATATATATATATATCTGATCATCATCAGTTTTCGGAGGTAACAAAAGAACAATATTTGTCATTGTATATTGCACATGTATCAAAAGCCGTAACAATTTTCTAATTTGCTAAGCCTGTGTGACCTTGGTAAACTCAAGGCAGGCGAAATACGAAGAGGACTTTTGCTTCTTTTAGTAAGATTCTATAAAAGATAAATTTATATATTTTGTATATATATATATTATTAATAAATATATGTGTGTGCAAAAGACATAAAAAGTTTTGAATGCTATAATCAATCAGCATTTTTTATTAAGAGTAATACGAGTTAAACCCTTGTAGTGGTCGTATCTGATAGTTTCACTTTGAAATCAGTCTTATGAGGCATATTTTGCCCCACGTCTCAAGAATCAGTGGCCGATAGTGCAGGATGCAAATAAAAGTTTCCTCGTCTAATGTATGTGTGTTATATCTGAGCTATTTCACAGTCTTTTTAAATACTGATGCAGGCATGCATAACTAAAAGAACGTAAAGATATTTAACGGTTGTAGCGGTGTTGTACGTAGTGCATAAGGACACGACTATCGAGGCAGATGAATCCCCACTGCCGGCTGGCTGCAGTTACTTGAGTCCGAGGCTTCATTCGCGGCCTACCTGAAAGACCGGAGAATGCAAGTCGGGCTGCGAGCCCACTGTCGCCACTTTGTCCGCATGATATAACCTGGAAACCGCAGCATTTACACTCCTGCTCCGAATGAATGAAACCACCGGTCTAACATAACGCAGAATCATGGTTCATCCTCTGACTGACAGGTCTAAGGACGAGCTCAACATGTAACGTCCCCTGACCTCACCACTTAGGTTGGACAGCAAACAGTTAACTCTGAAGTCGCGCTCCCCGTTCCTCAGCCAATGAGAACTGGGCAACTGGCGGACTTGGAACAGCCCCTTTGCTCTGTCTCTACTATTTCTATCATACAAGTACTGGCAGAAACATGAACTTTTGCAGTTTGCTTGTATCTTTACATATTATTGATCTCAATAATTGAGTTATGACTCTTATCCAATGTGCTGTTATTTTGTCAAACACACCATTACATATAGCTTAACAAAATGTTTAATTTCACAAAACTCATGTTCATCATGCTAAAAAACGGACACTCCAAACGCCAGAAATATAATACAGTCAGAATAGTTTGTTCAGTTTAAATCACTCACTTTTTTTATTTACATTTTTCCTATTTAAGTGCAGTGTATTTTCTTATAACTTCTCCACTGCTGTAATATCCAGACTTGCTACTATGCTACAAATTGCAAATACAACTGACTATTGGCAATATCTAGTTATTTATAAACATTCTTTATAGTTAATTTAAATCATCAATGAAGAAAGGTATTATAGCCCACAAAAGGGCTTTGCCCTCAAAGAAAAACAAAAAGTAACATACAGTACCCATAAAAACAAATATATTTGCACTGAACAATACGATATTTAAACTGAAAAGCAGTAAGTAAATGCCAGTGATAAAATCTGTTGTGTGATGTTCAGCATTAAATAAACAGAAATAAATAACAGAGTTGTGACTGATGTATCACTGCATGTCATCACACACACACACACACACACACACACACACACACAAAAAAAAACATTCAAGTTTTTATACAAGTTTTTCCTTCATGAACAAAATGTAGTTAGAGAAGCTGTATTACTAACAATTCTCTAACAGGTCTATAATTAGAAGTGTAACAGTGTTACACATCATTCACTCTAGTGCAATGAACTGGAATAGTAGAAGAGAAATTGAACCAGAACATCCCAAATAAGAATCAATCCGAATCCACAACTTCCGTGAAGATGTCATCCAGTAAGAAGTGGGACACTCGAACAGGATTCTTATCAGCATCCAAATCGGAGACAGGAGGGCTATTTTGAGGAGACTGCACAAGAGAGGATGTAGCATTAATAAAAACTAATAAAAAAAAGATGTCAACAATTTTAACCTTTCAATTCCTTATCTAACATTAATATAAGGTGTAATAATGTACAGAATACAATGATTTGCTTATAGATCACAGCTTGTACCTGATGATCTGCTGATGTTCGGGAGGGTGTGGTGGACACTCTGGCTGGGGACGAGGTAGGTGTGGATGTGTTCTCATCAGTAGCCGTTAATGGTATACGATGAAGGACAACCCTTGGTGAGTATCCTGACAGCACCTCATCAGCATGTGATTCTAAACCAGAGCTTCTGCTTCCATGCAAAACCAGAGATGCCTTATGCATCTCATTCCTAGGAGTACAAATTGATTTAGCAGTTGTTTTTACTTGTGAACAGCACTAAATATTGTGGTTTCAACAAGAATTACATACGGTGTCATTGGCATGAAATGGAAAGTATCCTTACCCTCTAGAAGTGGTTTTCACAGTGACCGGTGTGCTGTGATGCTTTGGTTGCAGGACACACTGGGCACTGCAGATTTCCTCTACAGATAACCTTTCTAGCTGTATTCGACACACACTTGAGATCTCTCCTGTTTGTTGTCTTGTTGGAGTTCCCATGGACTCCTTCACGTTTGATGTCCGAGTTCGCGGAGGTGTTGTCGGGGGGGCTTGGGTTGACTTTAGCACACAAGGTTGAACTTTAAAGCGTCTTTCAGGTGATCTTGGTGTCATCTGAAATGTACCTTTTTAAGAGAAATCGGAAGAAAAAAAAAATCAATAGCACAAAATATAATGGGGACAAAGATATATAAAGTCTATGATGAAGAATGACTGACTTCTTGTTGGTGAGTTTTTTGCTTGTGAATCTGACAGACTCTCATTTGACTTCAAAGTCTTTGGCATGTCAGAAGTAGTGTCTAATTGGTGTACCTATAAAACAGATTTTTGCAATGTCATTTGCACCACCTTGTTTAACGTTTTATATAGGTGAATCTCGAAAAACCTGACCAGGTCACATTTCACTCCAAAAATTACTTCGATATTTTGTTCATTTTACTCCCTCAATATATTGTGTCTGGTATGGTGTTTTTTTTTTCTTCTTTTAAATCATTTTATTTTATTAATATTTTTTAAATAATTGTGATTATTTAACGTTTTTGAATAAAGGATTTTTTTTTCAGTAAAATGTGATCTAGACACTTCTTCATGAGACTTACTCATAAAAAAATCAATTGTTATGAACCGCAATTAAATGCTTCTTAAAATAGCATACTTCACTTGAAATTTCAGAGGGCGTCTCCTCACTCTTTGTCAGACTAAGAACGATTTGCTCATCCTTATGAGGAATGCTTGAGAGACACACTTTTAGGTCCGAGCTGCTCTCTCCAATCTCTTCAGAAACGGGCACAAATGCATCTGACAGCAACATGTGGGAAACTCCTTCACACCAGTTCTCTATCTCATCTGAGTCCATGGGCAGCATATTGCTTTTGAGGGACCACTCTGCTGCTTGAGGGTCCAGGGACTGCTGAGATGTAGCTAAATGTGTCTGTGTAGAGCTGGGCTGACGGAGGTCAGTTTCTGAAGAATCATCTTTTCTTTTTGATAATTTAGGCTTTGGATGCAGTGTGCCTTGAAAAAACAGATTCAATATCGATTGAAAGCATGAATTTAGAAGCAAATCCAAAATCATTTGTTCAAATAATAAATGCATGTTAATAGACACTTAATTTTGACTGAAAAAAAAATAAATAAACAAACAAAGAACATGACCAAAATCATGGTTGTTTTTTTCCTGGATCTGTTGCTCCCAATGAAAAAGCAAAAGTCTTTTTTAATTGGGTTTAATTTTTAACAAACTGCAATTTAAAAAATATATATTTTGCGTTATATTATTATTTTATACATATTTACCTCTCCTACAGTCAGGTGTTTTCCATTTCACTGCCACAGACTGACTGTTGATGTTCACTTCTGTTTCAGTATTTGTTGGTCTCTCAATATCCGTTGACTTCTTGACCTGTGGCAGTTAGTACATTTATATTTTTGTTGAATTTTTTATTGGGATAAAAAGTACTCAAGCGACCAACGGCCTGTCAAAATACAGAAACATACATTGACTGCATCTTCTTTAAGACCAGCTGAGAAGGCCTCTTTGTGAAGGGTGCATTCTGCAGTCTCATCCAATACAGGCACCAAAATATCAGAGAGCACCATGTGAGAAACACCCCCACATGCCTCCTCACAGTCCTCTGAGCCAATTGGCAGCAAGCCAGCACTATGACAGAAAGACCAAACCATCAGTAATTTAACTCATATTTTGATTAAAACTTAAAATGTGCAGATCACTCATACCATGTCTCAGCACTACATTGTGTTGACTCTGACATTATGGTTGACAGAGGAACGGTTTGTGATTGCTCGTCACTCTTAGGGGAATCTCCAGTCTTCCTTTTGGGAAACGTCAGATCTACCAATAACTTGCCTTAAAAGCAAGGGCCATAAAAAGCATCAGAAACGTTACTCAATCAAAGAAAATTCATCACATTGTTACAGAAACTAAGCAGTGAGTCGAGAAATTACGGTTTCAAAAGTTTTTCACCACCTTTTGCCAGAGTGGGTCTTTTCCTCTTGGGTGATACTGATGGTCCCACATTTGATGATTGTGACACTGCACATGACAGGTCTGCGGTATCTGGATCCTCTCTCACCTGTAGTATAGATTTCAAACAAAAGCCAAATTAATTATGGGTATTAAAATTATGGACATAATAAAACAAAATAATTTTGAGATTGTTAACATCTTTAAAGATTAACTTCAATTAAATTTTGAAAAATGTAAAATATGTGGACATAAGAATGTACAATTAAATATCCAATATTGACCAATGCCATTAAAAAAAATATCTAACAGTATTCATTATACCATTCATATAACTAACCTGAGATCTTTCTGCCTCAAGAGGGCTTCTCTTTCCAGTTGTTGTCGTCCATTCCTTGCTCAGATCATCTGCCATTTGTTCACAGACGGGGATCAATATATCAGTCAGCAGCATGTGTGAAACACCTTCATGTGAATGCGTTTCCTGGGCTGCTTCTCCAGCGACGGCCTGCTGGCTCTCTTCACGCATGTGAAGACTGCTTTGGATGGAACTTCCACTAGTCATATGATCACCATCTTCCATTTCAGCAGAAACCGGCACCAATATATCAGACAACACCACGTGTGCAGCATCCTCATGCCCATCCTCTATTTTCAGTTCCACTGGTTGCAATTCAGTGCTATGACAGAAAGTTAAAAAATGTGTCTATAATAACTGTACACAGATCTAAGGATATTTATTAAGATATACGTGTCTTACCATGCTGATGTTTTTGCAGTGCTGAAAAGTTGTGAGGACAAAGCAATCACAGCAGGCTCTCGGTCTAACTCCTCCTTTGGAATATCAGAGAAATCTTCTTGATCAGACCTCTGTTCCACTTTAATGGATTCTTCTTTAATCAGAGGTGCTGGATCATTATACCCGAAGTCAGACCGCTCCTGTCTTGAGAAATCATCTTTAGTAGATGACGTTTTGGGGATGTTAGGCTTCACTTGCAATTTGCCTTGAGAAGAAGGAAAAAGAGATGATAAAATTGAAATGAAACCAATCAGGTTTGTTCTCATGAGTCAAGCAAGTAAGTTTGAGCTTCCATTTACCATATCTGATGTGCTTTATGTGTTGATCAATAAAAGCCCAAATTAAGTGCGTTCATCATATAGCATCTCTCCTTAAGACTTGGATTAAACCACAATTTATATGGATTACTTTTACGATATCTAAAAGCATCAAAGTTTCAGCTGACTGACCTTTCGATGGATGGACAAAAATCTCGTGGTTTTGGAATAACATGAGGATGAGGAAATGATGACAATTGTCATTGTTGAGTGAACTATCCCTTTAAAAGGATCAAATAAGTCAGTTAAAGGGACATTAATATCATTACCTCTCCTTAACGGCACAGTCTTCTCTTGAGACGCAGATGATGTCACACATGATGCCTCGCTGTAAGTTTCAGGCTTTTTAGCAATATCAGCCACTTTTTCCTTCTGTGGACACAAGTACTAATTAACTCAAGTAATGTGCTCCTAGTAAACGTGAATATTTTACGTAAAAAATTTCATAAGGTACATGATAGGACTGTTTGGTTTAAATATAAACAAAAACACTTACTTGGTCACTAACTGTAGGAAGAGATTTCTCACTCTCTGTACGACATACAGAAATGTCCTCAGGTTTTTGGAGCTCACTATCATGAGGGCTTTCCTGTTCCTTATTAAAAACATCCTTCATTTCTCCTGATGCGAGTACGAAGCCATCAGCCAACACCATGTGTGAAACACCCTCATAACCAGCTTCAGTGTTCTCCTCAGACTCCTTTATGAATGTACTGTGCACCTGTGAAGAAACACTTAGTGAATGACTGATTTATCTTAAATTATAATACAGCAAAAACAGTGTGAATGGTCCGTTTCAACGGAGAACAGCCTCTGACTCACTGGAGGGTCAACAACAGTGTCCTCATCCGTCAGGAGCTCTGTTCTGAGAGGGCTTTCCCACTTCACTTGACTCTCAGCTCTCATATCTTCAGAAACTGGCACAAGGGCTGTTGATTTCGCAGCATCAGGTCCAGGATGTGCTCTTCTCTCACGGTCTTCAGGGCTTGAGTGGATTTTAGGACCAACTGTTCCCTGCGCAGATGTTCTCTGGTTGGACTCAATCTCAGTTTGTGCTGTGGCTTGAGATGGTGGTAGATACTGACTGGGTGCACAGTCAAACTGGCCATTTTTTGAAGGCCCAACCTTCACACCTCGCTTTAGTTTTGGCTTGACCTTTATCTTGCCTTCATGGAGAGATCAGACAGGACATTACCATCTCATCTCCCCGAATATACCAGGTTTAATATAGTAATTGATATGACAAATAAAAATTGAATGCAAGTGAATTTCCTACATCTCCTTTGAGTGGGAGCTTTAGTTTCTGGGGATTCTGTCAGGATCTCATCCAACTTCGGCACATCTGTTGGCTTTTACCAAAAGAGAAGAAATATGCTACAAAAAAAATGTATACGTTCTGCAAATTATGGTAACAAAACGGAGTACTACATCATACCATGGCAGAATTACAGGAGAACATCGCGGGTGGACTGATTAAAGGGTTCACATCATCACGACTGCTTTCCTGTGAGGATATCAATTGCGTCCTGGCACCATCTACTGCATCCTTTGAAAGAGGATCCAGGGAGTCATCCACTATCTTGCGAGAACTACTTTTACATGGATTACTGGTCTCTTCTGATGCCAAATGCAGAGATGCACTACAAAACAAGGTCATCGTGGATGAAAGGAAGGGTTAACCAAGAGTGTATTTTTTACTGCGTAAAAAGTTATCTAATTAAATCTGGACTGGAAGGGAAATGTACCTGGAAGCCTCTAATGTGACAGAATGAAAATGTGAACTACTCGACAACAGTGAGGGTGTCTGGAATTGTGCTGGCTGCAGTTCATAAGGAGTAGTGCCCTGCTGCCCAAAGGCAGCCTCATGAAATAGCTGAGAGGCTGGAATCTCATATAAAGTTAAAATAAAGGTGGGCTCCTCCTCAGACTGTTTATCTGTGAAAAGGACAAATTGTTAATTGTTTTTAAAAGAACTTCATACTTTTATTCAGCAAGGATGCATTAAATCGCCAGTAAAGATGTTTATAATGTTAAATAAATGCTGTTCTTTTTAACTTTTTATTCAACAAATCTTGAATTGTTTTTAAAATGTATAAGAAATGTTTCTAGAGCACCAATATCAGCATATTAGAATTCTTATAATATTTCATAATATTACAGTTTTTGTTGAATAAATAAATGCAATCATGCATTCATGCCACCTGTATCCACTCCAGCTGAATCTGAAATTTCAGATTTTGCATTTTGATTGAGAGGGGCACTGCATTCCTGCCAGAAAACATTAGTTCAAAAGTATTTATTTCATTCAGCAAACAGAGAATACACAAGGTGTAATGTTTGTCAGGACTCTTCACCTCAGAAGCTTCTGATGGCTCTTCTGTGCAGTCTTGCTTTTCTGAATCCTGCTCACCTGGTATTTGGATGTCTTCAGCTACAGACTCGCTAAACTGCATCCTAAAGCAACATTTAAACCGCATACTATCAGTCATTTAATAAGATTATATAAATTCCCAATTATTATAAATTAAAGCGGCAAACAATGTACATACGTGTTCATATCACACAGGTTGCTTGCATGTTCATTGGGAGGTGAAACCAGACTGTGTGCTTCAAATGGTGCTGATGAAGCATCACTGAGAACTGGGTCTACAAGAAATCAATCAAATGAACAAACTCAATCATTTGCGTGTATACATAAAGGATGGTTCCTAGTCAGTTTTATGTTTTAACTTAGTTTAAACATGTGGACTAAATATTTCTATAAAGAAAAGAAAATTTGATCAAACTAATTAAATATAACAAAAACCTAAGAAAGTGTTAAAAGTCTAAAACTCACCATTTGGTTCATCCAGTTTACGTTCCTGTAAATCCACCTCAGATGACAGAAGCTTATCTTCTCTGGAGATGTTCTCTATGTCATGATCCAAATTACTGTGTAGGGCTTGAACAGGACTCTGAGCTTCTGGCTTTTCGGCAGAATCTAAATGAAGATGTCAAGTCTCAATCATTGGCGGTAGCACTAGTGACCCTTAAAGCGATATTGTCAATCTGAACCCCACCTTCTTTAGGCTCTAAGGTCTGCTGAGGGTTGATCATGACTGGGGGTGTCCCTTCTAGGTTGGGTGTTTGCTTATCAAAGTGACTGTGTCTCTCTGGGGCAATATCATCTTGAGTATAAACTGAGGAACCATCCGCAGAACAGCTGCACAGATGCAAAGACAGTTAAAAACATGCAAGACAATTTCAGCCATCTACTGATTCATCTGACAGTGCGCACCTGACTGGAATAATCCTCTTCAGCTCTGTCTGAGGTTCCTCAATCATGGCGTCTGTGACTTCAGACTCAACAGGCTCTGTAATTTGATCTTCATTCTCAGACGTCTGCGATGGAGACCTATCAAATTCTCTTCTTCTTTCAGGCACATCTGTAAAAGTCACTGATTTTTAAACTTTTTGGAATCTGCTGCAAACCAAGTTAAGCACTTAATTATGGGTTTTTGATGTCTGAAAAAAAGTATTCTATTGCACCTTCATCTGACGGTGTGGTGTCAAGAACCTGGGGCATCCCAAGGATGGGTAAAATCTTACTCGCTCTTGGAGGACTTCCTTATTTAGATAAGTGGTACAGAGACAAAGTAGTAAATTAAAATGAGTTGAAAGGAAAAAAGACAAAGATAAAAAAGAAAAGATAAAAAAAGAAAAAAAGAAAGATGAAGGGAAAGAAAGATACCAAATAACAAAAGCAATATTGCTTTCAATCTTACCAACTGATGTTAAGGAAGGAAGATCATCTACAGTGGTTTCTGCTTCATCATCCTGGACCTACAAAAAGGCATTAAAGAAGAGAAAACTCACTGCAAGTCAAATATTTTTTATGTTCGGCTTTTCCGTCACATGATCAGAACACACACTGAAGTCACTCCTGTCACAAAATCTCTCACCTGAACATCCTGAGGGCCGTTCTCTTCTGGAGTAACACTACATGTGCTCTCTTCCTCAGGACGGTCCCTGTGCTCTTCTAAAAGGCATTCATTTGGGGTGTTCTTCACTTGGACTTCCACAGGACTGCTACACTGCAGCTGCACTGAGTCACATTTGAAAGACGGGGCATCTGGATTTTAAAAGAACACATGCCCTCATTCAGAACAGAAAACTACACAGTGTTAAACACTATTCACAGGCCACTGAACAGTCTTCTTAGCTCATGGTTTATATACATCTGAAGCTCACTTTCACTAAAATCTGTTGTCTGTACATTCAGAGGTCTGCGGATGGACTGTGCTGCCCGGCTCAGACTGGGTTTGGGCTTGGAAAACCTTCTCCTTTTTTCGACAATGCTTTGTTGGGCAGAAATGGAGGTGGTGTCGGTTTCCTTTACTTCCTGAGAGACCCTCTCTTCTAGAGCACCACTAGTAGAGCCCTGTTCCTCAAGACCATCCCTATGCTCTACCACCTGCAAATCACATCAGCAGTCACTGTTAACTGATTACTACTTGAGTAACGCACAATCAATAACAGATCACACACAGAATAAACTCCACCAGTACTGACGTGAAGATCTCTGGAAGGTGCTGTGTCCTGCTGACTCTCAGAGCCTGTTGATTCCTCTGCAGTGGTTTGTGCTTGAATCCTGAGGTAGTGCTTCACTTCGTCATGAGACACCAACACAACTGCTCTTTTCCGTAATGTCTGACCTTGAGGGGATATTAAAAGAAGCATTACACCCATTTTCAACTGTTAATATGTGTTGCACCAGAACAACAGCGGTTGGCTGAAGATCAGTGATTGAGATTAGATAAAGAGCCTAGAAACAGACTCTTGGTAATATCATCCATTTACATTACCATTCAAATGTTAATACTTTTACTTAGCAAGGATGGATTAAATATATTAAAAGTGATTGTAAAGACATTTACAATGTTTCAAACTGTTCAAAGTTCAAACTGAACTTTATATTCATCAAAGAATCGTGAAAAACTATATATAGCAGCACAACTGACAATAACAAGAAATCTTGTGCACCAAATCAACATATCAGAAAGATTTTGGATAGATCAAGTGACACTGAAGACTGGAGTAATGGCTTGAAAACAGTTATTTTAAACAGTAATAAGCATGAGTAAGAAAAAAAAAAATTATGAGACACAAGTGCTCAATTTGTCTAACTGGTCTTACTATGATGCAATATTTATAAAAACATCAGCAATGCAGACTTACCATTAACTTCGGATGAAGTCAAAAACTCTAAATGCTGTAAATATAAACCCTAGAAAGAAAAAAGGTAATTGGTGTATTAAATAAAATGAGCAGTTTAGTCTTTTTATTGGTCTCTTTACATTCAAACCCTGAACATAACCATAATTGACAAAAAAAAAAAAAAAAGGTCGAATAATGTTCCATATCAAAAGACTGTACTTTCATTGAAGTACAATGCACTACATAATCAGAAATCCATACATTTAAAGATAACAGCTTAAAAAAATTATGCTCTAAAGTTTCTAAAGTATTACGATCAACACCTTTATATTATAGTGATTACTGGCACTCTGTTATGTTAATGCAGGCCCGAAACAGATCCACATCACACCAAAAAATTCCCATTTTTTTTATTGTGGAAATGTTGAGCACATGCAATTAGAGCTATTTGTTTTACCTCCTCCATACATTGATCAGCCTCTTTAGAGTCTTGCATGCCCACTTGATTCGCCATGGCAGTGCTGCTCATGTCCTCTGGTGACGGATCTGACCCAGTATGACACTGGTCTATCTGATCCCCTTCTGAAGCAGTCAGATTGTGCTTGTTCTTTTCTGCTGTTGTCCGCTGCCCAGGAGAACATTTGAACAAGCTTTGCGAAATCTCCTCCTTAGTTGTGCTCTCTGGAATGAGCTTCTCCCTGACACATTACGAGGCAATTGATGAAGATTTGTAATAGAGGACTACCGAAAGAAAATCCCATACCCTGACCTTGGGAAGATCATTTTGCATACCCATGATCCTCTTTAACACCAGGGCCTGCTGTCAAGACTTCACTGCCATCACCTGAAGCAGTCAGATTGCGCTTGACCTTTTCTGCTCTCATCTGCCGTCCAGGAGAATGCTGCGGGCTCTGGGAGGGCTGAGGTTGGTTTTGGATTTCAGATGAGTTGAGTGAATCTTTTAACCTGTGAAGTAATGTAATACAATTTATAACAGATAAAATATGTTTTTCAAAAGATCACCGTGTAGTGCTGTAAAGACCTGAAAGAATGAATCATAATTTACCTTGGTGGAGTTCTTTCCAGAACAACTACAGGCTGATTCTGGAGCTGATCCTCAGCAAGACAGATGATTCTCAACTATAAGAATGAAAATAAATAAATAAATAAAAGAAACATGTTTCAGGATTATCCCTAGTTATCGCTAATGAAATTAACTTGTGACTGTGATTTTGTTAATGGCAAAATGTGTTTTAAAAACAATGGTTTGCTTGGTAGATCTAAAAGCAGCATTATACTGTTCTGTGCACGTAAAGTTTCTATGCGGTAAATAAATAAATGCCAAAAAAAAAACTATTAAAGAAAAAGGGATATTTCACCCAAACCTTGTCATCCCAAACCTGTTGACTTTCTTCTGTGGAATAAAAAAAAATAAAAAAAAGAAGATATTTTGAGAAATGTCTCCTTGAATGTCAAAAGCTATTCATACAGGCTTGATCAAGATTGTGAGTAAATGATGACAATTTTCATTTCTGGGTGAACTATCCCTTTAAAACATTATTTTATCCTGGGTGGTTATCTATATACTGTGGTAAACAAACCAAAAAGAGGCTAGGCAGGTGTGGAATCAAACTCAGATATGTGAAAACATACCTCATTGTCTGCTTCTCTGCAGCTCTCATCTTGACATTCTTCTACTGTATCCTCAAGCTCTACTGTTGCTTTTGGCTCAGAACATATTTTGACTTTCCTTTTTGCCAAATTGGGCCTTTTTAAACGTTTGAAGGAGCTTTGTGAAACCACCTCCTCAGCTGCACTCTCTGGAAAGTGCTTCTCCCTGACACATGTTGATGAAGTTGATGAAGATTTGCAATTAGAGTACTGCTAAAAGAAAATCTCAAACTCTGGGAAGATGATTTTACATACCCTTGATCCTCTTCAGCACCAGGGGCTGATGACGAGACTTCACTACCATCAGCACCAAGCTCAGATCCAGTACACTCTGCGTAAAACATACAAATCAGATGACTTTTAAAAAGCAAACATACATTTTTAGTGATCACTTTAAAGGGGTCATATGCTGCTTTTTTAAAGATCATTATTTTGTGTATTTGGTGTAACAGAATATGTTGACATGCTTTAATGTTCAAAAAACACATTCTTTTTCAAATACTGTACACCTGTCTCTCTCTCTCTCACACACGCGCACGCACACACACTTACTTAAGCTAATAACAAAACAGTAGTTGATTCAGAAGGGCCAGATTGTCATAGCAAAGTCAGAATTACCTCCTCTCCTAGGTTCACAAAACGGTCGTCCATAAAATGCATTGCTGTTCTGTTGTAAGTAATCTTAAAGATTCCTAAATGCATCTACTTCTGGAAGGCCAAATAAAGTGCTTTTGCTTTCGTCTAGAAACACACAGCGTCTCCTTGACATGGCTGCTTCAACACTAACTGCGGTTACTGAAACCATGCCTTCTTTCTTTGCGTGCACATTTGGGTGGCATTATGCAAATATTTCCACATAGTGAGGTAGATATGTGGGGGCGTGTTAGAACGAGCCGTTTTAGGGGGGTGTGGCAGAGTCTTAACTTTGATAAAGAATATCTCTTTGGTTTTGAGACTTTAGTCTTTGCAACTTCAGGGATCTTATCTATGCACAATCAGCTTGTAACACTCCAAAGAGAAAGGAAAACTTGAAATCGCATCATATGACCCCTTTAAAATGTATTTTTTTTAAAATCCTCAACCTTCCTGTGATGTTTTGCTCTTTTTAGTCTTCCGTTCTCTTTTTGTAGGTTCCTTTTCTTCCTTCTCACCCTTTTTGGAGCGTTTCCGCTTTTTAGTTGGGACGGCAGATGCCTCATTGTGCTCCTCATTCACTGCACCACTTTCTCCATCAGTAGGTTCTTCATTCCGTACTGTCAAGTTTACAAAAAAGTATATTTTAAACATGCACACTGCAGTTCAAACGTTTAGGGTGAGTAAGATTTGTCATTATTAAAAGTACTCAAATTCAGCAAAGACTGATCACTAGGGACAGTAAAGACATTTCTAATGGTACAAAAGATTTCCATTTCAAATAAATGCTGATCTGTTGAGCTTTCAATTCATCAAATCCTGAATCCTGAAAAAACTATCATGGTTTCTACAAAAAATATTAAGCACGAAATGCTTTCAACACTGATTAGAAATTTTTCTTAAGCCCCAAATCAGCATATCTGAATGATTTCCGATGGATCATGTGACTAGATGATCCAGACTAGATCATTGTCTGCTGAAAATTCAGCTTTGATATCACCGGAATAAATCACATTTCAAATTGTAACAGTAGTGCAGTGTAAACAGTAGTGTATATTTCTCATTTTGATGTCAGAGGGTCTTTAACGTGAGCTCAGTAATGTCAAGGTATCAACAGAAACCTTCAAGTGTCTTTTTGTTCTTCTTTTTCTTCTGTTTTTCTTCAAGTTTCAATTCTTTCCCCTCCTGGTCACCCTTTTTTGATTGTTTGCGTGTCTTTTTTGATACGGGCATACATGACTGATCTTCACTGTCTGCGTTTACAGAGTCTTCCTCCACCAAGTCATTGTCCACACACACAAGGTCACCATCTTCAGCTTCCATTAAGCATTTGGCTGAAATAATAAACAGATCTAATCGTCATTCAGCTGCTAATTAATACAGGAAATTGTTATGTTCAGACACTGTGTGGGTTTTGGACCATAATGCACTACAAACAACAGACAGAATGGACAAATCTGAATTACAATGAGTAATCACACATAAAAATTTGTCAAACCTTTTTTCGGTGTCTTGTTTTTCCTGCTCGCCTTGCATGTTTTTGGCTCAGTGTCTTTTGTGCGTTTACGCTTCTTGCTTGTGCTTGACGGCACATCCGCTTCATTCATATTACTGCTGTCCTCATTCTCCTTTTCTAAATCAAAACAGACACTGTCCACACTGCACAATTCATCATCATCATCATTAATGGAGTCTTTGTCCTCAAGCTGTTTCACTTTTTTACCATCTGGGTGAGTGAAAGTAAAAAATAAATGAAATTAAATAACAGTGACACAAACAATACTTTGGGAAAGTGTGGTACAGTGGGTTCTTGAGACCTGAGGCTGCCACTCCAGAGCACATTACCTTTGCCTTTCTTTGCTTTACTGGATTTTACAACCAGTTTTATGGATTTGCCTTTTTGTTTGTCTTTAGCCAAGACCCTCTTCAGCAGGAAACTGAAAAGCTCGCTGTCATATGGTCGCTTATTTCCTAAACAGTCAAAATGTCAGAGCAAGGACTGTGCAGTAGATTTTTTTAACAGCATGATAGACAGACAGAGAGATGGATAAATAGCTAAACTTAAAAAATACTCACTGAATGCTTTATCCACTCGCCATGCATTCGCTCTCTCCTCCTTCTTAAATTTACTCTATCAAAAAGAGAAAGACCAAAGCACACAAACAGATAAAGTCTAAGACCTAATGTGAATCAAACTTAAGGTAATACATTTATACTCGGGGTCAGTCAGTGACATAAGGATGTTTGTTATGATTGAGGCTTGTACCTTAATTTCTGTTCTGCTACGGTGAGTCAACAGCTGAGTAATCAAGGAGAAGTCTGTTCCCACCATACTGATGGCCAAATAGAACATATCCGTCTCTGAAACACACGCACTAAAATTTCAAGATGCTCTTAACATGTTTCTTCTCATAACTGAGAAGGAATAAACCAATAAAAAGTATTGATCGTTTAACATTCAACCTACTTTTATGTTTGACAAGAGCGCAAACATCAAATCTCATGTTTCTACACAATTATAAACCAACAGATGTAGCATTTAGTATTCGTACCTCTGACAGACCAGTTTTTCACATAGCATTTTTTCCTGAAACTTGTGTATGTTGTAGTAGAGCCTCGTTCAAACAGTGGATTTGCATTCTCAACAACTGTATCAGATGTCCTCTGAACGCGCACTGTCAAACTGAACACGACACTGTAATCAGTCAGTAATTCATGATTATGCATTATATAAGATGAAATAAACTGTTACTGGCTGTGCTAAATGCCATCTTTACATCTGTAACCCTGCAGATGCATAATTTCACATATCATTAAACAAAAACAAAACACCTAAAAATTAAAAAAAACTATTTAATTACGTGAAAAAGGATCAACTTTAACTGAAAAAAATAAATAAAATTAAAAATATATATATATATTATATAAAATAGATTTCAGTTAGTTTCCAAGTCAACATTTTTCATTTTAAGTACTATAATAACTAAAACGTAATAAAAACTATATAGATATATTAAAAAAATATATATTATATAAAATAGATTTCAGTTAGTTTCCAAGTCAACATTTTTCATTTTAAGTACTATAATAACTAAAACGTAATAAAAACTATATAGATATATTAAAAAAATATATATTATATAAAATAGATTTCAGTTAGTTTCCAAGTCAACATTTTTCATTTTAAGTACTATAATAACTAAAACGTAATAAAAACTATATAGATATATTAAAAAAATATATATTAAAATGACAAAAACAACAATTACTAACATTTTAATTAAAATTGGTGTAAGATGAAAGTGCATCAATTAATAAGGTTTGGCTGGACTAATAAAGTTAATTAATAAGGTTAAGGTTTGGAAGCACATCTGAGAAGCAGTAGGGGAAATGAAAGCAAGCAATTTTACTTTCAACAAACTAACTAATTAATTAGCTGAATAACTAAACTAAATAAATCAATAAATACATCTGAGAGTAATGCTGAAGTGGAAGTTTCCCTTATTAGGTTATTAGATTCATTCAGGCCACCATACCTTTCTTCATCTAAAATCAGTGAGCCATCTTCTGCCACCTTGACTTTGGGAACAAGCAGTTCCTCATCAGCATCATCATCATCCTCCTCCTCGCCTGCTTCTGCCATATTTTTCTGCACCCTGAGACACAAAAACAATGGCATTATCTTGAAAGACATGACTCTAAACAACATGTAAATCAAACCAAATATTGTTCTTTACAGCAGGAAAAATTGCAGTCCTGAATGTCAACTTAATGTTACACTAATTGTCAAAAACAGTGTACGTACTCAGAAATATGAAAATGATTAACCCCAAGTACAAACAGTTCTTCAGTGAATGGGACGTGTGTATAAATAATAATAATACAGGTTTTATTTCACTTACGTGGGAGTTGGTGGAGCAGTGGTCTGTGTTTGAGTCTCCTCTGTGGAAAGGGAGGACCTTTGGAGATGTAAAAAATCATAGGGTATGTTATAATATGGTAACACTTTACAATAAGGTTACATTTGTAAATATTAGTCAACAACATTAGTAAGCATGAACTAATTTAGTTAACTTACTTCATAGTTAGCACTTACTTCATAGGGTTTGACTCAGGCAGGTAATAAATGAAGTCAGCTAAGGTCATTTTGTCACGATCTGGCTCAAAGCCATGCTCACATTTAGGTTGTCTACTCTTCTTCTCCTTTGAGTTGCCAAAAACAAAGAAAGTTTACATATATGAATTTAAAATTTTGACTTTGCCTCTCAATGTTTTTGATAGGTTTCTTTTTTTTCCTAACAACTATTGTGAAAAAATGACTTAATATTGACTTCACCATTCCTTCTTTCTTCCTCTCCAGCTTCATCAGTTCTTTCAGTTTGAGGGCCCTCAAGACCCGCTGCTTGTCTGAAGAAATTGTGGTCCTGAGGGGAGAGTCTGGTCCATCAACACGTGACAGTTTCACATATGGTGAGAGTGTGCATGCAACTGGAGTGACTCCTTGAGGCCCAAAATCCTCATTTGGGATTTTTTGGGGAGTTTGGCAAGGCTTTTGTTGAGACGCTGTTGATAATGGAGATTTTGGACAGCCAGATGTTGATGGAAGACATGGTGAGGATGGAGGGTAGTTGGCTGCTGTAGTGACATCTGAGAATGTAGAGTTTTGGGAATCGTCTCTGCTGATAGCAACTGGGATGGGGGACTGAGGGAAAGACTTGGCTGCCTGGAAAGGGGATGATGTCTTGGATGTCTCTGATGGAAGAGAAACAGTCTTTCCAGTGGATGGAGGAGGAGCAGAACGGACTTTGGGTCTGCCTAAGTTTGGTGTGGTAGAGAATCTACTCCTCCTCTGAAGTACTGTAGTTGCAGGTGTGCTGACGCTAGATGGCGCTCCATCATTACTGTCAAAAAATAAATAAATAAAAACTTGATTTGAGAGGCTTCTGAATCTGAGGTTTGACCACATCACTGTAGCAGCCATATAACTAACTTTTGATTTAGTTTAGGCAGTCATGTAAAGTATTAAAACCACAGAATTTAATTGAATATTTACATTCATGTTCTTGGCTGAAACTAGCTTTTATAGTATTTATTAATATTTTTAATTAGCTTTTATTTTTATATTTCAGATTTAAATTTAAGTTCTTATTAGTTTCTGTTTTTTTATTTTATTTAGCTTTCATTTATTTTAAATTTCAGTTTGGTTTTTAGTAATTTTACAATTTTAACTTACTTCATTTTAGTTGGTTGCCAAGGCAACATTTTGTTTGCAAGATTGTAAATGTCTTTACTGTCAATTTTGATCAATTTAATGCATCTTCGCTGGATAAAAGTATTAATTTTTTTTCAAGAATTTCAAGATTCAAAATAAAAGGCTTAATTTCCACAAACGTTTGAATGGTAGTGTATGTACGATCATAAATGTTCAATTTGATGTTTACACTTTTTCTTGTAGGAGGCAAATGCCATTTTGCCAATTCACCCCGAAATATACATGAAAAATATACTATTTAAAAAAAAAAAAACTTTAATATAAAAAGATGATTTCTAAAACCAATGTCTCCCAAAAATATGGTTCCAAGGGGAAATAACTAATTGTAAATTCTGGGGGTGCTGTACATGTTTGCTTACATGTTCAGTGATGCTTTCTCTGATGGAGAGCCGGGCACATTTCCATCTCCTGTCGCCACAGCAGACTCTTTGACTTCCAGCTGAGACTGTGGAGAAGGTGACAGCGTTTGCTGGGTGTCACCAACAGCTGTGGACCCTTGGGAGCTCTTGTCCTCTGCAGCAGGCGCCACACTTCGACCTCCTGGCCTGACATTGGGCTTAATACTAATTCTGGCTCTTCGCATCCTGGTCAAGAAACTGTGGTAAGATCAAGTCATGTATAAGCTTGCATGTCATACATACATGTCTATATAAGGATGAGGTGTCACGTGACTGAGATAGAGTTGCACTCAGTCACAGCAGGACCAACCCTATGATCATAGACTGTGTATAGACTACAATTTGTGTCATGTGGTCAAGACTGACTGATTTCATCGGTCTGGTGATGGCCATGTTTCGCGTGGCTGCTAAGCTATGTTTTGAAGGATATTATCGACAGTACTGACTAATTAAAGTATTTCTAACCCGTGGGCTCATGTATTTTTCTCACTGAGTGAATTATGAACACCAACATTAGTCGAGATTAAAAATATAAAAGGGGTATCTCTGAATTGTAAAACATGCTCTTATATTGGACACTTATACTAGACAAACGCCTCTGACTCCCGCATGCCTGAGTGTGGTGTGTCCACACTGATTTCCCATTGGCTGCTGACAGAAATGAAGATGCCACAATTACGAGCGACAAAGCGGAAAATGTGTATTGACAACATAAAAGCAACAAGCCTTACTTTAGTTCAAATCACCGTGTAACCCTGTCAATGTGATTGCCGCCATATAAAGTGGTAAAATGCCGTTTCAGCCGGTCGTATGGTATGGCTCCCCTGCAGCAACTTTCCCTGCGTACCGGCCGGTGTCTGATAACCACGCCACTCCAGACCTCTGCTCATTCAGCGAATGGCATTGTGGGTCTTTGTAGTTTTACTGTTACTCTCTTCGCCTCTTTTCTCTCGCAAAAAACTACATTACCCAACAGCTTCAGAAAATCAGCTGCGACTGATAGTACACACGTGGAGCAACACTCTGCCTGAAGGCACGTCGTTAACATGCAATACTATGAATTTAAAACTGCAATTTATATTTTTTTATAGTTTTTTTTCTTCAATTTTATACAGAACAGTTAAAGGAAAGAGCAGCGTTAAAGATATTACTCGAATTATATACTAAGTGGTATTATTTTTTCAAGAGATAATCATACCTGCGTTATCTTAAATGGTTGTTTGGAGTAGCAATAGCATTCTAACATAATACTCTTACCTCAGTTTGTAGTATGTATGCAATACGAATTATGTAAAAAAAAAAAGGAAGAAAAGTGTGCTTGACTTGACATTTTCAGTGTGCTGAGTGACCAAACAGTCATATTAACCAGAAATTTTAACATCATCTTTTTGACTGCAAACCTTCGTCTCATTTTCCCCACCAATCATTATAGCTGCTTTGAAAGAAATAATTTAAAAAAAAAAGTGATAGCAACGACTTGACTTGTAGCATACTAGTTAGAAAAAAAATCCTTGCAGTTATGCTTATGTAGGTAGTAAACCGTATGCTAGCATTCCATTCTGAACATAGCCAGTGTAAGTTACTTCAAATGTTTGAAGTGTACTTCATTCAGCACGTTTTTCATCTAGTAAAGAAAAATGAATTCAGTTATCTGTTGATCCCATTCAGAGATTATAAACCATTGTACTACCAGAACTTGACTTGTGAGACTCAAATCATTCAGCCAGTCATCACTTTATTGTGAAGTAGACCTAACTGGTCTTATACAGATTTGAATACAAACTTTGCAAAAGATAAATAGGACACTTCTGAATCTATTCCACTAACTAAAATTCCAGTTTATTGCAGCGCACATATGTTCTATAGCATCCAAGGTAGAGATGGCATAGTGCATAACAGAGCATATATTTATAAATGTACACACATACAATTCACATAATTCATTCTGACAAGGCTTTAGCATCCAGTACAGGCAGTATAGTACACTTTCTTTTTTTGCTAAACCATTAATTCAGAGATGAATGCATGTCTTGCTGCACTTTTAAGCCTTGCAATATCATGTTTTTCCCACTTAATTTGTCAGGAGGAAACCATTAAAAATAAAGAGCAGTGTAGTAACATATCATTGATTAGTCAGACACATCAATGTTTTATCAAACATTACCTGAAACTTTCTGGATCATCATGTTACACGCAAAACAATGTGCTTGATATTGCCTACAGGCATCATCCTCCAATTCTATGGATAGATATTATTTTTGACCATTTATAGTTGCAGTACCACTGACAACATGCCAGTAGTCGCAATTAAAGATTATTCATTAAATACAATGTCAAATCAAAACAAAAACCGAGAACTTTTGACATGATGACAGTACATACTGTATATATTAGTGAATGTCGCAAGCTCACCACCTCACAAATAACAGAACACTGAATTCAGTTCAAAAACCGGTTGATTAGAGTCAGTTGCTCTTTATAACGAACAGGCCAGAACAGTATGTATCATGTGATCAGAGCAGATCAGCAGATGTTGATTGCAGTTATCATATCAGAGCATCCCTATAGATATTATATACACTTTCTCTCTGCTGTCCATCATGTCGTTTTGTGTTTGTACATTTAATATTTAAAAAAAAATCTGTAATCTTATTCAGTTTATATGCCAGTTCATAAAAATGTTTCTCAAAATTAGTGACCAGTCATGCCCTAAAGCTTTTCATAAATGTGGAAAAGTAAACATATAATGTCAAAATAATACTGTAATGAAGAAAAAGTCATCAGACAAGACAGCAATAACTTGTCTACTGGTGCGAAAATGACAAAATTGCTTTTGAGTGCTTTTAGTACAGAAAAAAACCCACCCTCATCATGTTGTCATTTAGAGACACAATGCACTCAAATTCATGTTTGTTTGGTTTTAACAGCAGACCAGCACTGGATGATGGGTTTATTTTTAGCCTGTCCATGATCATGGTTTATAAAACTAGGAGGGTTGCACACACTTCATTTGGCTGTGACATCAAAGCTAAGAGACCTGCTCTTGAACAGGATGCACTTTAGTGGGAAAGATACATAAAAATGGTGCTCTGTGAAAAGCGGTTGTGGTCGTGTATCCATTAGCTCAACCACAACATTATAAAGCTGAAACACCTGGGATGGAATTGTTTTTTGCATAATTTCTTGTTCTGTGATTTTTGTTTGACTTGGAACCTATGGAGTCATCAAGGTGGACAGCTATCATGCAAATGAGTTTCCAAATGGGTCTCTGAAAGGATCTAAGCCCACTGTCTTTATGGGAGGAGCACTCTGTAAAGGTCAAAAGAAACATAAATATTAAAGAAGAAGAGGAAACATATTATTGAGCCACTCAGAAAAATAAACTTCAAATAATGTTATTGTTTGATGAAATGTTTCATAATCTCTTAAAATAATGCACATATACGTACAGTTGCAGATACAGATGTGCCAAACAGATTTTTTCCAAAGGAGTTGTTGAATGGGTTCTGAACTCCAATCTTCAGTGGCTCTGCAGTGACAAAAATGATTCAAGATGTTACCAAAAATATAACCTACGGATTCCCAAACTTTTTGTCAGCCAAACCCCCTTGACATAAAACAATTACTTGAAGCACCCTCTAAGTCTTCACGTTAATACTTCAATAATTTAACAACACATTTGCATGCTCATGGTTCTCTGATGTTGGTTAATGGCAGGGTTATTATAGTTAGCTAAGACTAAATCCATACAAAACCATGTTACTTGAAATATAAGTTAACTGAAATCAAACATTTAAAAATAAATCACCAATTGACCAATATGTCACCAAGGCAACATTTCTCATTTTCATTTAGTTTAACTTGATGTACTAAAATAATAAAAAAAAGTTAATAAAAACTAGACTTTTAAAAAAACTAACAAAAATGACAAACAACAAAATTACTCAAACTTTAAATAAAATTGAAAAGAACAAAAACAGAAATATAAAAATTCAAACTATTAATAAAACTTATAATAGTATCTCAATGACACAAAAACAAGTCAAGTCAAGTCAAGTCACCTTTATTTATATAGCGCTTTTAACAATACAGATTGTGACAAAGCAACTGAACAGCATTAATTAGGAAAATAGTGTCAATAATGCAAAATGACAATAGTAAACACTCATTTTTCAGTTAAAGACAGTTCATCATTGAATTCAGTGATGTCAACATCCAGCTCAGTTCAGTTTAAATAATATCTTTGCAATCATGTCAACGATATCGCTGGAAATGAAGTGTCCCCAACTAAGCAAGCCAGAGGCGACAGCGGCAAGGAACCAAAACTCCATCGGTGACAGAATGGAGAAAAAACCTTGGGAGAAACCAGGCTCAGTCGGGGGGCCAGTTCTCCTCTGACCAGACGAACCAGCAGTACAGAAAAATCAATATAAGACGTAATAAAACAACACTGGTTATTTTTGTCATCTTTTTAGTTTTGACAGCATTGCAGTCCATATAACAATCACACTGGTGTTTTTAGGAACCCAATCATTTTGAATATAATAATAATAATTATAAAATTGTGTTCATAATTTTAATTTTGAACTCAAAATGATTAAAAATCCTTTTGAATAAATCTAATTATTAAAAATAAAGATGGAAATATACATTTCTATTGTAATAATGCAATTGCGCAATCATATTTACTAAAATTACTTATTTGTTACAAATTAAATGATTCACTTTCAAATGTTAAACCCTAAATCTATTATTCTAGTGTTAAAGGTGGGGTAAGCGATTTCTGGTAGCCAATGTTGACATTTGAAATCACCAAAACAAACACGCCCTATACCCCAAAAGGGTCTCGCCCCATTTTGATAGCTCCGCCCCACACATACAGGTGCATCTCAATAAATTAGAATGTCGTGGAAAAGTTCATTTATTTCAGTAATTCAACTCAAATTGTGAAACTTGTGTATTAAATAAATTCAGTGCACACAGACTGAAGTAGTTTAAGTCTTTGGTTCTTTTAATTGTGATGATTTTGGCTCACATTTCATCTACACTGGATGAGGCACGACACGACATATCCCCGACAGAAAACTGCTGCTGCGTTCTATTTATGACGTATTGACACAAATTTCAAATGATTTTCAACGGTCGCTTTGTCGCGTCCAGTTTACTAGACAGACTTTAGCTGTTGCGGCGCAGACACGGTGTTACTCACCTATCGAGAAGAAACAAAGCAACCTGAATGCTCTCTCCTCCACATCATGAGTAGACACGCCCCTTACTGCTAATTGGCTACAAGTTGGTTTTACTAGTCGGCCCGAATCAGTTTTCTAATGCGTTTTTGAAAAATCGCTTACCCCACCTTTAAACACTCAAGCTTTTTCTGCAGGGAGACCTCTGTTTAGGTGAAATCAGGTTGATGAATGCTTCTCGTTACAAATCTGGTGAAATGCTGAAAACTTTTTGAACTGAAAAATTTTGAAAATTATGCAAATGTGAAATAAAGTGATTGTGGTCGCATTCCCAAAATGCATGTTATGAGCAACTCAAACTGACATCAGATGCAGAGATGCATTTTATGACATTCTCATGTAATTGTTAAAACAGCTGAGATTTTAATTACAAATAGATCCATATCTGCTCACCTTTCCTTGCTGGCACACTTGGTGGCTTAGCCATCTGGAAATCCTTAAACATGTCCTTTATATCTCTCTTCTCCTTTTCTCCTAGAGGATCCAGGTCAACAAAAGCATTACTGTCCACCTTTGGAGCTTCTTTGGTAGCTACTGCCCGAGGTGGAACCAGTGGAGGGGGACTGGAGCTCTGCTGTCTATCGGGCACAAGGCTGGGTGGAAATACGCTGGTCTGGAAGGGGTTCCCCAAGGTTGAATGAGGGCTCCAGGATCCATTGTTTCCATTGGAGACTGGGGTGGTGGTCCATGATGGAAGCTGTTGGGTAGGGTTTGAAGTTCCCAAACTTCCAGGAATGTTTCCCCAGGCAGGAGCAGGAGAAGTGGAGAAGACAGGTGCTTGAGTGAAGGGCTGAGAGACACTGGTGGTGCTGGGGAAGATGGAGGAGAGCGGCTGATTCCACAGAGCTGCTCTAGGAGTGGAGACTGCAGGTGGAGCTTGTAGAGACAACCCTTCTTAAAAGAAAATATAGTGTTGATAAAAAGAAGATGAAATATTACAAAGATGCACTTATTCAGTGTTCCGCTTATGACAAGAATCGAATGGACCATGCATTCCTTTTGGCACAAAGAGTCATTTTTAATTTCAACAGAGTGGTAATCACCATATCAGCCTTCCTTTTGTGAATATTATACTACTGTACTTTAGTCTATTTGAATCATGCACATTGCTTATAAATCATGTAATGTTTTATTTGTTCACCAATATCACTTGCTAGGTATTCATTTTGGACCCTGATGTCAACTTTCAGTGACTTACACTGCATTCAACATTTGATCAGTTCATGCATTCCCTGAGAATCAAACCCATGACCTTTGGCATTGCTAGTGCCGTGCCCTACTGTTTGAGCAACAGGAATATTTATTTATTTATTTAGTCATTTATCAGACGCTTTTATCCAAAGCAATATATGAACAGAACAGCACTCAATCTAGGCTCAAGCTTTCATTTGAATAAGAATCACTGACATTTTGAAAAAGCACTTTTTGGAAGCTCACAAATGTCAAGATATTTATTTATTTGTCTCGTATGTCTTACCAAGAGCTGGGATTGTGTCAGTGGAGGAAGGGCTCCGGCTGAACAGACTGACAGAGTTGACAGGGCAGTTCTCAGGTTGAGGAGGTGGTGATTCTGATTGGCTTGGTGAAACAAATGGATCCGTCCCGAGTTTTTCATTGGAAGGGGACTGTAAAAGATATAAAAAATAATTATAAAAGAGATTCAGCCCATTATGGGGACAACTTGGTAAATAAAAGTGGGGGGGGGGAAACAGACCCGGGATTAAACAAGCATATTGTAATAAATTGTAATGTGAAGAAATATGTAAAAAAAATTTACCACCAGAAGAGAACCTTATAAAATACTAGTTTAAAGGTCAGGGTCAGTTAGATTAAATTAATACTTGTATTTAGCAAGGATGCATTAAATTGATCAAATGTAACAGTAAAGACATTTGTAATGTTACAAAAGATTTTTGTTTGAAATAAATGCTATTCTTTTAAAGAATCCTGAAAAAAATATATCACATTCCCACAAAATGTGTTTCCATATATATATATACACACAGTATATATATATATATATATATATATATATATATTAGGGATGCACCGAAATTTTGGCCGCCGAATATTGCATTTTTGGTTTTCGGCCGAAAATATGAGCCCAGCAGTGTTCAGTGCGCAGGTTCACTCTTCCTCTAGCCATCGTCACTGCACAGCGGTGTGACGCTCCGCTCAATATTCCGCTCTATGAATGTGCATTCCATTGCTCACGGCCCATGTGAACGCTACACTCATGTACCGCTTTTCAGAATTTTCATTTTGGTGCATCCCTATATATATATGCAGTGGGTACGGAAAGTATTCAGACCCCCTTACATTTTTCACTCTTTGTTATATTGCAGCCATTTGCTAAAATCATTTAAGTTAATTTTTTTTCCTCATTAATGTACACACAGCACCCCATATTGACAGAAAAACACAGAATTGTTGACATTTTTGCAGATTTATTAAAAAAGAAAAACTGAAATAACACATGGTCCTAAGTATTCAGACCCTTTGCTCAGTATTTAGTAGAAGCACCCTTTTGATCGAATACAGCCATGAGTCTTTTTGGGAAAGAGGCAACAAGTTTTTCACACCTGGATTTGTATATATATATAGAGAGAGAGAGAGAGAGAGAGAGGCATTAGCAAACCAATCCTTACCTTATGAGTACAACTCAATGAAGCATTGAAAACTGGGGCAGAAAACATTACCAGATCAGATAGAAGTTTGGAGAGCTTAAAGTGACATGCAAGTTTAGAAAAAAGAAAGCATTAAAGGGGGTCATATGATGCGATTTCAAGTTTTCCTTTCTCTTTGGAGTGTTACAAGCTGTTCGTGAATAGATAAGATCCCTGAAGTTGCAAAGACTAAAGTATCAAAACCACAGTGATATTCTTTATAA